AAAAAAAAAAAAAAAAAAAAAAAAAAAAAAAAAAAGACAAATTTTCTTTTTTTATTTTGGTTTATATATTTTGAAATATAGCGGACGGTATTCCCGCGCATGAGTGAGAATCTGGGTTCTCTCAATTATTATTTTTTGGCCTTTTTATTAATTTACTGTTACTGTTTATAGAATTTAACCGCAAAAAACAAATTTTAATTCCTTCTTTCTTTTTATGTAAATTCATTTAAATTTCTCTAATCTTTTTATTTTCTGATTCATGTATATAATACTGATTAAAAAATATAATTTTTCTTTATTTATGTGGTATTTTTTAATTTTAAAATTGCCTTATTTTTTAATTTAAAATATCATTAATGCTTAAAGTATGATTACGTGACCAAAAGTGTTTTTTTTTCTTTCCCTTTTTTAGACAAAAAGTTTAGATTTGCCTATGAAAAAATCCCACTTTTTTTTTTTATATAAAAAATAAGTAATCTGAATAAAATGTATTTGTTTATTAATTTAATTTTTTTTAATGATAGTTTTTAAAATATTCACCGTCTATATTATAAAATTGATATCTCGACATTTTTATTCATTTGTTAAAAATTTCTCTTAATCTAATTCAATTAGATAAAAAAAATATTATAATTTGAATAAGTATATTTACTTATTTAATATTTATCATAAAAATAAAAGTAAAATAAATGAACGAACGAAACATTTAATCAATTTTATCACACTATTTAAATTTAATAACATATTTATAAATTTGAAAACCATATTATTATTTTTCAAAATTAAAAAAATTAAATAAAAAAAAGTTGCAAAAAGTCCAAAAATATAATTTGTATATAAAAAATAATAATGATACCAAGACGTTACCAAACAAAGTACAAAAAAACAAAACAAAACTTCAATATTTTCAAATAAATTTAGTTTTCTTTTTTAAAAAAAAAAATCAAAATATATCTGAAAATTTGTAGATAATATATATTTACTTCCACAGTAAATTTTTAATTTCATCAAATTACTGCGGAATATTTAAGTGTGTATTGCAATTTTAATTTTAAAAAAATTGTTATTTGAAAAATTAATTAAAAAGTATATTATATTTAAATTTTAGGATAGTAAAAAAAAAAATATGCGGTATTAATTAGGTAGAATATTTGAATTTTGAGTTTTTGAAAGTGTTATTTGAATTTGAATATTTTGAAACTAATATTAGAAAAATATTAATTAAAGAAAAAAGTATGTCATAATTATTATCGAAGAGCGGGCAGCGGAGCGTGTAGGATTGGCCGTTGAAACCGAAAGAGGACGCCAATTAATTAGAGAGCTAAATGCAATTTGAATTTTAAAAACCAGTTCAAATTTCTATATAAATTTCAGTTATTGTTTTTAATTACTTAATTAATTAATTAATCAAAATTGGAATTTATTGATGCATTGAAGTTAGAATATTTTTTTTTTTTGTTAGGAACAAAATAATAATAATAATTTGATTTGAATGGTCGTTTTATTGTCAATTTGAGTATAATATAAAATAATTAAAAAAATAATTGTTGGTAATAAAAAGTTTTGTCTTTTAATTTTCGAATGGTAATTCATGTTACTGAAATCGGACCGCAAACATAGTCTAATAAAAATAAACATAGACTAAAACGATCCAAAGCATGGAAGGAACCATATGTTAAACAAACCCTAGTTGACCCTACACTCTCCAAGGTCGTGTGATCGTAGTTTAGCCCAATCCAATTAGCTATTTTATTTGAAAATCTTAATGGTTTGGAATCCGAATTTGACATATAATAGCTCTGACATTCTCGTGCATCCCGTACAATATGGTCAAGTTACCTACTCCTTGCTTTTCAAGAGTAAATATTATCTTACAAACCAACATGAATCTTCACAGACATCTCGTAAAAATTCATAGGAGATCACATGACATAGAATAGTTAAAAAATGACTTTTCGTTATAAATCATATTTATTTATTTATTTTCATAATAAAAACAGTTTAAAATGGTTTAAAATGTAATACACATTAATCTTTTAAAATTCGTTTAGTAATAAATATTTTAAATTGGTTAAAATTATTTAAAAAAAGAATGAATTATTTCTCTAAAAGATAACTTAGTTATTATTTTTCTTATAAAAATAATTATTTGAATTGAAGTGACAGAAAGTAAGATGTATTTATTAATATTTTGAAACTATATTATTTTTAAAAGGTATATTAAAAATAACAAAATTTCGAAGGCTACCCATCCATCGCCATCTACGTGGCCCAATAGTTTCTCTCCAACTAACTTATCCACATCTAATTAGACCCCTCTCTTAATCATAATATTTTAAATATTAAATCAAATTCCCTGTCACTAAAATATCTTGCAATCTATGGGGTTATTTTATTTAAATTTTATATTTAAAAACGGAAGGCAGATGATCGGCTAAAAGAGAAGTTAGTTTCTCACTTTTAAATTTAATTTTAAAATTTTTTTACATTTAAATTAGTTTTTTTTTTATTATTTTTTTTTATACTAATTGGACTAATTTCATTTGAGATGTTTTGTTTTTTTTAGCATTTACAGTAATTCAGTTAATTTGAACACTATTTTTTTTTTCTTAGATTAAAAATTTATATTATCAAATTTTGTCGTTACTATGGATTTTAAATTTTGTTTTAATATGCAAAATTTTATTATTTAATTTACTTTTATTGGTCGGGGGCAGAAAAGTAAAAGTGGGAGTGAGATTATGGATACAGCTTGCTTTGAGTTGAAGTTATTTTGTGAAGTGTGGATTCTATGGGAATAAAACAATAACACATTTTTAGGTGAGAAAATACATTAAATAATGGAATAAAAGGTTTTGGGTCTATTTGTACAAGCAGTGTGTCGCATTCATATCCCACTAAATATTCAATCGGAACACGGTTCGTCTCAATCTTATTTAAAAACGTCAATGATCCTAAAGTCAATAGAAATCAAGTGTTAAATTTGCAGATCAGTGAATAAACCGACACGAAAGAAGAGTCGTTTTTCATTTGGTGTCAGAAATGCACTATATTTATTATGAAACTCTTGGAATTTGATCTAAAAACCTTGTTGAAGAACGAGATCTTTAGCTTTACTCAATAACCCAAAGAATGATAAGGAATTATCTGAAGTAAATTTTTTGAAAGAAGTTACCTTGATAATCAAGATCAAGAATAAAGAAAACTCGGTTCGAATCATTCTACAAGATAGCTTGAAATGTCAATTAAATGAGTAACGTTGAAAAATTATGTGCTTCTGTAAATTATTCTCCCTTCCCCATAATATCCTCGAGGTAAAGTTGGAGATTTAGTCGGGATCGATAAATTGAGAAAAATAGGCAAAAAGGCTAAGGAAGAGGGCTGAGTATATGAGGGGCACTATGGGAGCCATGAGGTCCTATGATATCAATTATTGAGCCCTCCATTTGAATCCCAATCATTGATGTAGCTATAAAGTCAAGAACCAATTGTTTTTTTTTTTTTTTAATGATTTATTTAATTTCTCTTCCCAACTTGAAATAAATAAAATAAAGCTATTTTCTGATGGGCCGTTTTTGTATCTGTCTTATTGGGCTTTATGGGCCAAAAGGCCCATTGAATATATGGGCTGAGATACTGAGACCTGGCCCAGTCCCTGTCCACTTTACTGACAACCGAACACGTGTTGAGCTGTGCTGTTTTGGTATATTTCCTTTGTACGAATATGTGTGATTGGGACCTTCTAAAATTTCCAACGGTATAATTTTGATTTAAATCTCATTTTCGTATTAGTCTTAAACTTCTATTTTAGGGTTGATTTTAGTTATTTAATTATAGTATAATTCAAACAAACCATCTCAGCTATTATTCTATTACTTTCAACTACTTGGGTTAATTTTCATTTTATTTTAATAATAATTTTTATAACTTGTAAAATAATAAAATGTACTTTTCACGAGTAACCCAATTTAAAAAATTAAAGAAAAAAAAAACTAAATTAATAAAAATAGATGTCTACCCATACTAAAAAAGCTTTTAAAATAATAAAAAAAAACTCTTCAAATTAAAAAAAAAAAAAAAAACTATATTAAACTTTAAATATATATATATATATATGAAAGGATTAAACAATATCATTTAGTTTAAAAAATTTCATTAATAACCGTAAAGATTTTTTAAAAACTTACAAAAACAACTTTTTAGTCAGTGTTCCATTTAAAAAATACTCATAAATTTTTTTAAAATAACATTAAAAAATTTTGAGATAATTTAGAAATTTTTTTTTTATATATATATATTAGTGGTAAGAATTTTTTTCTTTAGGAACATAAACAATATTAATGTTTTTTTATTAATAAATTTTATAGGTATTTTTTTAAACAAAACTATTCAAAATTTAAATATATTTTTATAGGAAGAATTTCAAAAAAAAAAAAAACTCTTAATGGCAAGTGGCCCTGAATGAACCAGTTGTTAAGGTTTGTGACAAAAACCAAAAAAACCGTACTCCAAACCCATCCCAACCAATTTACCATCACAAAAATTAAACGACGACGTGTCACTCTTTTTGCCGATCGCTTAAATCTCCCACCAAATCTACACTCACCATACACTCAAAATCCCTCTGTTCCTCAGATCCTTCTTCTTTAAAACCCATCCAAAATCCCTAGCCATTTGCTTAAGCTTAAACGAACTCCCCTGCATTGTTTCGCTTCAAAAGCATAGCACTCATGGCGGCTCAAACCATGGTTCTTTCCTCCGGTGTGTGCGCCAGCCATGGCGTGGCGTTGAAGAGAGAAATCGCTTCGTTGACGCGGAGACTTAGACCTAACGCCCAATCTAGTCGCTTGTTTTTCAATCCTCTGCCTTCTAGTTCCGTTTCTTTACCTGCTCGTGGATTTAGGACTCTTGCGATCTTTAAATCGAAGGCGAAAGTGCCGGCGAAGAAGGTAATTGTCGCGTTTTCTTTTTAGGAGGAATTTATGAATCTGAGAAGAAGTAATTTAGGTTTTCTGGTTTGATTTGGTTTGTTTAGGTTGTGAAACCGAAGGAGAAGGTTGAAGACGGCATTTTCGGGACGTCTGGTGGCATTGGTTTCACTAAGCAGAATGAACTGTTCGTCGGCCGTGTCGCCATGATCGGCTTTGCTGTGAGTTCTTTCTCCACTCTTTTCCTCTTCGAATTCTTTCGGTTTAAGCACATTGAATTAGAAATGTATGGATCTATGTTCATGACTTTAAATTTAGGGTTTGTTTTGTGTGATTTTTCTTTTAAACTCATTATTTTTCTTAATTTTTTAATACTTATTTTTTTTAAAACTAGTTCCAATTGGATATACATTTTGTTTTTGTATTTTTATAATTAAACTTATAATTATTATTTATGATTATTTGTAGTAGATTAAGGATTTTAGTATTTTATAATAAAAAAATAATTAATTAGCTAACTCAAATTAAAAAAAAAAAAAAAAAAATCAAAATGGTATTCGTCTGACCTAAGAATTGTATTTTTTTTATAGAGCAAATATTTTCTTAAGAAATTAAAAATAATGGGAGAGAAATAATAAGAAAATATTCTTTTTGTAATACTATTAATTAAATAATTGCATAAATATTTGTCATATTTTTGTGGGGATAAATTATTTAATTATAGCAAATATGAGTGTAATTAATTTCATTTGTTATTTTAATTAATTATTTTGTTCAATTGTAAACCCTAAATTTAAAAAAGGTTAGAATTTATTTATTTAGTAAAATATCAGGAATAGTTAAATAAAACAATTAATTAAAATGTGCAGGCGTCGTTGCTAGGAGAGGGAATCACCGGAAAGGGAATTCTGGCTCAACTGAATTTAGAAACTGGAGTTCCAATTTACGAAGCGGAGCCTCTTCTTCTGTTCTTCATCTTATTCACTCTTCTCGGAGCCATCGGAGCGCTAGGAGACCGTGGAAAATTCATCGACGATCCAGAACCAGCCACCGGACTGGAACGCGCCGTCATCCCTCCTGGCAAGGGCCTCAGATCGGCGCTAGGTCTCAAAGAAGGAGGTGAGTTACAGTACAGTGCAAACGAATTGTTCGATTAAATCTCGATAAATCAAATCTTACATCAATTCATGACGGCTCTGTTTTTGTATAGGTCCGTTGTTCGGATTCACGAAGGCAAATGAGCTGTTCGTCGGAAGATTGGCGCAGCTAGGGTTTGCGTTCTCGCTGATCGGAGAAATTATTACAGGTAAGGGAGCGTTGGCGCAGTTGAACATTGAGACGGGAGTGCCGATCAATGAAATTGAGCCGCTTGTTTTGTTGAACGTTCTGTTTTTCTTCATTGCTGCTGTGAATCCTGGAACTGGTAAATTCGTCACTGACGAGGAAGAGGATTAATGAATAGATCGATTCTGCTTTAGCTTCTCTGTACATGAACTTAGAGTTTCTGCAGTTTTAGCGTATTTATTTTGCATCAGCGCCCAAAAACAACGAATCTAAGGAACAACCTGCAATATTTCATTAAATTTGAGGTAGAATTTGATAAAATTAAATTTGAATATTTTCTAAAAATATTATAAGTTATGACCGTGAAAGATGGTCACATTCGTAGAGTGGAGCTGTCTCTTACAGGTTCTCTCTCTCTCTCTGAAGGTTGATTGCTTTTTAATTTTCTTTCTGAAGATTGGTTGCTCTTTAATCTTTCCAAATAATTTGGTTTCTGATAATGGCATCCCCTGTTTCGTTGGTAGGGTTAGGGTTAGGGTTAGGGATTTGGAATCCATTTGCTTCTCTGATGTGTTGATGTATTCTCAATGGATTTCATATTCAAATTATGTTTGAATAAGTAGGTCGTTTACCAGACATTTTAATTTATAACTTCAACTATGGGATGTAGATGGGGAGTTGTTTGTTGGCCATTCAAATTATGAACAATTGCAGATTACTAACATGATGCATTTCTTTTTCTAGTATTTATCTATTTATGGATAGCTTTCATTCTACCCAATAGAGATCAATTAGTAGTTTGTTTTTAGTAACTTAAGCCGAGGTTAGCCATTAGAGCTTATGTTCTTAGTAGACAATATCATATTATCGTAAAGGTTTGTAGTTCTTAACATGGTATAATAGTCATGCCTTTAACTTAGCAATGTCAATGAAATCCTCAAATGTCGAACAAAGAAGTTGTGAGCCTCAAAGGTATAGTAAAAAAGTGACTCAAAGTGTCGAACAAAAGATGTACTTTGTTTGAGGATTCTAAAGAAAAGAGTTGAGCTTCAATTAAGGGGATGTTGTTTGAGGGCTCATAGGCCTCAGGGGAGGCTCTATGGTATACTTTGTTCGAGAGGAGGATTGTTGGTGGGGAGTCCCACCTTGGTTAATTAAGGGGATGATCATGGGTTTATAAGTAATGAATATATCTCCATTGATATGAGGCCTTTTGGGAAAACCAAAAGTAAAGTCATGAGAACTTATGCTCATATCATTGTGGAGATTTGTGGTTCTTAAAATCTTATACTCTTTAAAACTACCGGACCTAAATGGTTACCTTTTCTCTTGTTCTCTGAATCGCGACACTGCTTGTTCAATGTATAGGCCCCATCAAATACATCGAAATATTTGTCCCTGTTTCTAGTAGAAACAATACAGTTGGTTGATGATAATAGGCATTAATATTACTGTAAGAACTCGAGAGATCATGGTATGAAGTAATAGTCATGGACTTTGTTTAAGAAGTTTTGTCCGCTTTAGCCCAGAAATCCGTGAATTTGGGGAGGTGTCTGTCTGGAGGAAAAATTGGAGTGTTTAGATTATTTTGTCTCATGGTTCAGATTGTTTTTTTGCACAGGTTTATTGCTAATCCTATGCAGTTTTACTTTTAGACTCCTCTGTTCATCCTAAATTCAAGATATCTCTAGGATATACTCTTAAACTCTAGATATAACATATCTCAACAGCTCAAGTCTATGGCTAGTAGATATTGTCTTATTTGGATTTTTCCTTCCGGGCTTATCCTTAAGGTTTTTAAAATGACGTCTGTTAGGAAGAGGTTTCCACACCCTTCTAAGAAGTATTTCGTTCTCCTCTCCATCCGATTTGAGATCTCACAATCCACCCCCTTTGGGGGCCTAGCGTCTTCATTGACACACCGCCCGATGTCTGGCTCTGATACCATTTTATAATAGCTCAAGTTCACCGTTAGCAGATATTGTCCTCTTTGAGCTTTCCCTTCTAAACTTCCCCTCAAAGTTTTTAAAACTCGTTTTCTAGGGAGAGGTTTCCATACATTTATAAGAAATGCTTCTTCTCTTTTCCAACCAACGTGGGATCTCATAATAATTCTCGAGCCTTGTAGATCCTAACATATTCTGTGATGTTGAATCACCAAGGTTTGACAAAGGAAGCCTAACACAAGTACAAGTTTCGTAAACAAGATTACTGAGCAGCAGAATTTGGTTTTCTTTTTAATATAAAACTTAAGAAACAAAAGCGAGGAAGAGAACTGCAGAAATGAATGGAAGAAGCTGCGCAGTGAATGAGTGTCGGTTAAGATGCATGTGAGCAGCAGACACTTTGAATTGTTCAATCACCACCCATTATTTTCTTCTACCATATTTCTCTGTCCAGTGTGCTATGTGTCCTTTAGTTGTGTCTTTTACACACTCACATGAAGGAGGCTCCATGTCATTTATTTTGTTCTTTCAGTCCACAGAATTTCTGGAGGGGAAATTTTCGTTCTCTCTCTTTTATTTTTTGCTGATCGGTGAGGTAAAACTCGTCACATCAGTAGTCACATCTAAGCAGAACGGGAAATTTTAGATGAACCCAAGATCATTCCCTAAGGTTGTTACATAATTAAAGGTTTAAAAAAAAAAACTATTCCATGTAAATTTGCCTAATCCTTTAAATTTCTGAATCATTAGAGTCGAAATTTTATTTAAAATGACAATTGAGATACGCAAATAATACTTATTTGAATTTATGTGGATCGTAATTTGGGTATTGGATATATTGAATGATTAAATTTATCTTATTAGTTCTGGTTCATTTTCTGTCATTTTGTAGTATAAATAGTATCATTTCTCTCCGTATCGCTTATAGAACAAATTCCTATAATTATGAAACCCATATGAGAGACGGAGGAATATCTAGGAAATTCTTATCATTTATTGGATTTGAAGAGGGTGAAAAAAAGACATTCTTAACAAAGTTCCTAGGAAATTCACCTTTGGGAAATTGTTTGTGAATAGGAAAATGAACAATAGAGCTACAACCTAAAGAGTAAAGGGTGCGACAACCATATCTTTGGAATACCATATAGGAAATTGAGCCTATAGAGAGAGATGTTGTAACGAAAGCGGAAGTAGGATCGATCGCGCTCACACACCCACAAATATAGGTTAAACAAAGAGACAAAGATTTACGTAGATGTAGGAGAATCGCTACTTGTTGATGTAGGAGAAAATGAAAATGCTACATTGCTGAAATGTTTAATCAGTGGCGTTGGTGTTGGTTTTTGGTTGATGAAGTTGGGTGAAGATTGATGTCTTGTCATTTTCGACCGCGCCACTATGAGCGTTTCTTTCCTGGACCTTAATTTGTGGTCCTTTTTCCAAATCAATGGTCCTCTTGCTTCATAGGGCACTTGTGACAAATTGCCCTTGTCAAGGACACTGCTAAAAGATGTAGCCTCTGCCTAATTCTAATCTTCTTCCCGCATGCATACAGGCTCGCTCATGGCAAGAGAATGTCTAGGTTGGTGAGATTGGTTTGAACATTATTCTTTTTTCACTCACAAACATGTCTTAAGGGATTGATCATGAGTTTATAAACCATGGAATCTTATACTCGAAGTGGACAATATTAACCATTGGGGAGGTTCGTGATGGTTTATTGTTCAAAATTTGAAACCCTAAGACTAGACTTGAATCTTTTTACAAATCATATTTGAATTCCAATTCAGGGATAGATGTTCCTTTATGCCTGTTCAGAATTCCTTGACCTTGTCAGAGTTCTTATCCAGCCTTTTCTTGTCTTGACTCCTTCCACGTGGCAGACTGTCCCTTTGTTGGGCCTTTTCCTTCTAATGAGCTGGAATAGATTGCCGATCCGCTTCCGCCACCTAAGCGAGGCACGGGGCTTGCCATGCTCTATCACAGTCTTGGTCTGCTTGGAGTCTTTGGTCAAGTGGTGGTTCCATGACAGGCTACAGTTCTTCTCCAGGAACACCTCTGAGACCTTGTTCTGTTCCCATGACCCAACTCCATTTTTCCCAAAGTTGATCGAGATGAATGAGTCTACATAATTTTTGGAGTGGTCCCCATCAAAAGATTAAAATTTTAAAAAACAAAGAACTTGAAAGATACTTGTCAGTGTTGTGTTGTCCAGATGTAAACTAAACTTGTGTTTTGTTTTCCTTGTCCCTTACCCACTTTGCTTCTGTGTTTACCCCCCAAAATTATGTTTAGTTTCTGTCTAATCTTTGAGATTACAGAAGCTGTCTACTTTCATTCTTCGTTATGATTGGAACAATTCAAACTTCAACTTTTCCCAACTGTTGCTAAACAGTCTCCTCCACCGATACTTACTCTGTTCCTTTTTTATTCTTGTACTTTCTGTGTTTCTGACAACCCGCCCCCTTCTGCCAAACCACTCATTTGCCAAGTTAACTAATTTTTGAAATGATCATTAGTTTGTAAGTAATGTATTTCCATCGGTAAACAAATCTAGAAGAGCTTATGATTACTAACATAGCTCTTATTCTTTAGACAAACCCATAATAGTTTTCTTCATGATTCTGAGATTTGAACAGGGAGAAAGGATATATAGATGTGTATAAAGGTGAAAAGGGAAGTACCTTCTTGACTGGTGGAGGCTTCATCGGCCGAGTTTTCCGGCTTCCAACGGCGGAATTCGAAACGGGTGATGAAAGAGGTAAAAGCGAAGATCTTAGAGAGGTTGATGGGAGTTTTCCGGCAGGTTGGGGCTGAAGAATGGTGGCGATGGGGACCTCGTTTGGACGCCAAGATAAGAAGCCTCTCGTTTAAGCACAAAGCACAGACACCCACCACTAGTTCTTTGGGATGGAAGTAACAGGAAGACATTTGAGCTCTATACACATTCATGCTTTTTGATTGTAAGGCAATAAGGTGGGGAGTAGAATGTGAAGTGAAGTGAGAGAAATTGAGGGTTGGAGGTGCGGTTGGTGTTGGTCATTTATAGTCTCTAATAAGATAGGTAGGAAAGTTGGTCTTGGACTTGGCCCCCTTGCTACTACGTTTTGACCCAACCCCATAAGGCCTTCATAAAGATTGAAAACAGCAAAATTGAAGTAGAAGACGATTCTTCTATACACACTTCTCAACCCAATTTCAGCGCGTGTGCTTCATTGACTTGACCCGAATTCAACGCAACCCGGCCCGAAATTTGTTGGACACGATCCGTGTAACCCTACATGTGTCTGCACCACAACAAATCCATTTTAAAGAATTTACCTGGCCCATGTACAAGTTGAAAAGGATTTATTTCGACACACCCCACGGAAACATTTAAAGGGTTTATAAGTAAGGAATATATCTTCATTGGTTATGAGAATTTTTGAAATAGGCTCCATGCTTAGCTTGAGAATTCTATGGTAACTAAGTGTGAGACATGATTTTGATGCTACTCTTTAAGTATAATGGATGGTATGGTATGGTATGGTACGGTTTATTTTAGTAATAAGCTTTCACGACTTTACTTTGGTGTTTATATTTGGTGTTTATATCGGGTTGAAGCATCTACACCAAACTCGAAAGTAGCTGACAGAAGCAGAATTTTCTAAATGCTTTTAAAGCAACATGGGCAATGGAATCCAGATTATAAGACATGATGGAGAACTTGTGGTGGGTCACAAGGCTGTTGCTGATTCCACGCACCGAGTGGCTTCTTTTGTGGGATAAACCGAGAAAAAAAAGGGCAATGCAGTGTGGGCTGGCTATTTAAAAAGTATAGAAACCAGCAATCTGCCAATTATAAGGCTTAAAAAGGCAAAGTAATGGCCACATCCACATGGGAAGAGAGTGAGAGAGTGAGGGAGAAGCTCTGTTTCAAAGTAAGGTTGGGTAGGTAGGCGGCGTCATCATCAACGAGATGAATATCTTACTATCAAGTTGTCTTACATAGGAGACGAAACACTGTTTATAAGAGTATAGAAATATTTTCTCTAGCAGATGCGAATCTCGAAAGAAGCTTAAAATAGAAAGTTCAAAGAGGACTATCTGCTAGCAGTAGACTTGGATTGTTAGAGATCTAGTTTCAAGGATTAACGGCTTCCTTCTCTTTTCTTTCTATTATTGAGTAAAAATGATATCAATTTTGGGTCCGAGAAAAAGATGTTATAGAACAAGTTGATAGGTCAAAAGATTAAGGGTCCAAAAATGTGTTATTGCAATCTCAATAATACTCACATGCACCGTCAATTATCTAAACTTAGACTTGAAAGATAAGTTTGTTGCTCCGTTGGTTATGATAGTGACTGAAAAAGTAGAATCGAACAGAAAGTTTATATAGGATGGTGAATTATCTAAACCTAGGCTTAGAAGTGGAGCCTTTTTGTTGGGTAGTAATGATTTAATGGCATAATTTAGTTAGTTAAGGATATCAGTTTGCTCCCAAATTTGTACACAAAAAGTTTGTTCTTATGGTAAGGAAACAAAAAAGAAGGGAAATTACATCTTTTAAGGTGTCAGAAAAAGAAAATAAAGAGAGGCGTCCAAGCCTGCTACATGTTGGGTTCAGTAAGGATCTACGGCGGTGCCCATAGAACAGGCCCAAACTGGAGCTTAAATTCATCTATTTCAAGATAATTGATTGGTCAATATGGTTTCAGAATGCCCATAAGAAAATGGTTTGGGGAGATATACATTCCAATTCAACTAGCCTAATTGGAATTGTTTTGTTCCGAAGCAAACCATGGGGCGGATCGTCCTATTCAAATATTCACGATTAAAAAACACTGGATTCTCTATTCGAGTAGGCCTTGAAAGGAGAAGGAAGGATGGAATGCCGATATCTGTTAACGGTGAGTTTGAACGGTTACTGACCTTCAAAACCATCTAGACTAAATTCTAAACCGACACGAAATGAATAACGAAACAATGCAGAAAAAAAATGTGAAGATGGGCTGGATTTAGTTTAAGTGGGATAGAGTTGGAAAAAAAAAAGAGGAAGTATGAAATGCAAGACACCTACCATTAATGGAAAATTTGAATGATTGCCTCCCCATCTATATGAACATTTAAGAAACATAAATTATTCTCATTTTTTAATCCAATTTGCCCTGCCCAAAAACCAATGTTTTCTGTCCAGAAAACAAATCTATTACCTTCCAGCACATCAATTTCTAAGGATCCAATAAAAAACAGGCACACACAAGGAGCAAAGAGATCGTTGTTCTGAATTCTCATAGATTGTTAGCAATTACAAGTTGTTAACTCATAGGACGACGATAAACTTGTTAGTTGTTGTACAGATCTCAGTAGTCTGTAGGGTTATTATTGTTTAGATTACACTACAACTTACTTCCAAGGGTCATTCATTCATAAGAACTCTCTTCTCTACCTTCAAGCAATAACTAAGCCAGAAGCCAGAAATTCCTCTGCCATCTGGTGTTGATTACATACCCTCCCATGTCTCTGCTCTGCTTCCTCACCCCAATCGTCAAGCACTCTGCATTGTTTATGCACTGTTCCACCAGATCTCCCGCCCCACCACTCCCACAAAAGCTACGATCAATTCACCAAACCACATTTCAAGTTACAAAAACAATGAATCAAACAGGAATTTGCTTGTTGGATTCGACTCACCAGCTGAGAAACGAAGGCCTTCTCTGTCCTAAAACCAGCACCGACACTTCCAGCTTCTTAACTTGGTTCATCACTGTGCCCAGCTTCGGCCCCTCGATCACCAGCACCTCCACCTCTACCTGAAAAAAATTCATATAACCCACTTGGTAAAAAATGGATGTGAGATCTGAGCATCAAAGATGAAGTAAATGTTAGAAACCACGAATCTACCCACTGGTAGGATGATATTGTCTACTTTGAGTATAAACTCTCATGATCCCAAAAAATCAATCCTTACGGATGATTATTTCGTGCGAACGTTTGACTCCCACCCAACAATTATCAACCGTAAATAGGCTAAGAAAAATGGGGGATGTTTTGAATTCCCTTCTAACCTCTGGTCTGGAAGCCTTGCAAAGGGAGCCAAGAGAGGTAGCACAGAAAGGGGAAGAAGAAGAAGAAGAAGAATCGGTGGAGGAATTGGTGATAACATGCAGGAGAGTAAGAACATCGCCCTTGTTAGCCACATGAGTGAGCGCCCACATAGTTGCATGATTGGATTGTGAAGTATGATCCACCACCACCATCACCCTCTTCCTTCTCGACACTCCGCCATGGTCCATCCCATACATATTAACACCCCCTTCCATCTTCTCATTCCAATGGCTTCCCTCACTGACACGCTCTTCAGAAGCAGGGCTTCTCCTAAACTCCCCACCCCACCTCTTCGATGTTGATCTCGAGCCCTCCCCTCTACTTATCTGCCTCAGAAACGATTCCCCCCTTGGCATTTTGTCGAACACAACGTCTGCAAACAACAGCAGCACCAGAAACAGAAACAGCTTCTACTTTATGAAACTCAGTGGTCTAGATCTGGTTAGGACTGAGGCCAACGCCAAAGCAAAGGCATAATAATATCGATATCTCTTTTGATAAACAGATTTTAAAGCGTCACGGGAAGCGAAGAGATGGGCATTGGGCAGGCGTGGGTTTACTCAACGGCGCGCGCGCGCACACACACACCACCATGGAAGTGAAACACAATCACTGCTGTCTGAGTATGATGATGAAAGGTAAATGATTCCCTCTCTACTTACTCTTTCCTCTGTCTTAAAGGAAAATATTTTTACTTCTGTTTTGGATCTTTTCTCCAGAATCTGCAACCTAAAGTGGGTAAGTACGATCAGATAAATATAAATATTATTTCTGACAAAACTTTAATTAATTGGATTTATTTGGGTTTTTAAATTTTGAATTTTCGAAAATTAAACGTTCATATTATACTATTTGTTTTCTTGACTATGCCTTCAATCATTTAGATTGTATTATTAGTTGGAGGATATTAAATTAAGATTTGCAAGTATTTATTTTTAAAAAAGATTTAAAATTTTATTATCTATTGGAGAATAAATTATTAAAAACTATATGAAATTAAACAAAAACCAATATTATAATTATATTGTAATATATATATAAAAAAAATAATAAGAATGATCATGGGTTTATAATCTAAAGTCACAAGAATTTATGCTCAAAGTGGATAATATCATATAATTGTAAAGAGTTGTGATTCTCATACCCTTAACTTAGTCATGTCAATAGAATCTTTAATGTTGAACAAAGAAGTTGCGAGCCTCAAACATGTAGTCAAAAGTGACTTAAGTGTCAACATAGAATGTACTTTGTTCGAAGGTTCCAAAAAAAGGAGTCGAGTCTTGATTAAGGAGAGGTTGTTTGAGTGGTCCACATGCCTCAAGGGAGCCTCAATAGTGTATTTTGTTTGAGAGGAGGATTGTCGAGGGCTCAACTAACTCAAACATTTTTTTTTTTTTTTTTTTTTAATCTCAAACGAATCTGAATAAATTAGTTGAAGTAATAATAATAGGAAACCATGTCAAAATCAAGAAATTATTACCCAATAAATAAAAAAGAAGGGAAAGAAAGAAACAAGAAGCTATCACAGCCGAAGAATTCATTACAGTGTCCAACGGGGAAAATATTTATTTTATTTTCCTTAAAAGTATAGGCATAATAATGATAAATATTTATTTTATTTTCCTTTATTACTAATTATTTTGTAAATGGGATCTGATGATTGTTATTATTTAATATAAAATTATCTTAATATTTCAGATTAAATTTTTAAACAAATCAGATTCTTACATTATTATTATTATTATTATTATTATTATTACAAATTTGCCACGTGGTTCTGTGGGCCTACGAAATCATTTTGGAGGACAAAATGGTAATAAGATTGATAGTATTGGATAAAATGTTATTTTTCTAATTTTTGAAAGTTTCATAATTTAATAATATTACACTATTTATTTTAACAAAGGCCACATATTTAGATTTTTTAAAAATATAATTTATTAATATTACTTTTATTTTGGTGCTAATTTAATGCTGTTTGAAACAATGGATTCCATTATTTCTGCTCCTACCTAATTAGTGAATAAGCATAGTACTTCACATTAATTTGGTTAATTAATGTTGATGGAAAATATTAGAATTTAAGAGTGTTTTTCTGTTTATGTTATTTCCTCGTCAACCATTATTCAATTTTGTCCACACAACTACTTTTCAAGATTGTTTTTTTTGTACATTCCTATTTGTGTGGACTTTTCGGGTCGAGAGATAGAACACCTACTCAAATAGAGAATTAGAGAGAAAGCGGGGATGAATTTCTTCTTGTTAGAAAAACAAAATTGGGGACGATGATTAGCTTTTTCGTCACTATTTTCGATACTAGACTTGGGTCACATTTGTGCTTTTGTAATAGTAGGAGAACGATTGTGCATCACTTGTTTTAACTAAGCGAACAAGTTAGTCGTGTGAGATTCGGACTTCGTGGACTATATTGGCATATGATCGACCCTCTATTCACGTTTGAGAGAAATGTTTTGAAAAATGTGAGCAAAGAAATGTAATGAAAACAATTTGAAAGAAAATAATAGTAACCACCACAACTTTGATAGCATATAATCTGGATAGAGAGAATTGACAACTAGCCACATCTCTTTATAGTACATTTTGGGGTACTTAAGCACTAATGAGTGTAGACGTAACTATGGTGAGCAGTCAACACCTTTGTATTAACACAACAAGAAAAGTAAAGGTTTATCTAGTATAAAAGTAAGTAAAAAAGATTTGGAACATGCATACAATCATAGACAACATGGTCTAGACAAGTATGATTGGGACATCTAACATGCAACCGTGGACAACATATCTTGGACAAGTATGACCGTAACATCCTTCTCTAATCCCCACTGCTTAATTTCCTACTCCCTACAAAAAATAAATGGACAATTTTACACCGATAGAAAATAAAAATTGGAAGTATAGACAGAGATAGAGAAAAGGTCTTTGTTCCCACTCGTCCCATGGACAACTCTTAAGTGGCTAGGGTTCACGAAAGTCAAATATGGTGGTTAGATGTATGGACCACGTTTGATGAGTATATAGTAAAACCAAAGAAAATAAAGAAGGAATAAACAAGATAGGAAGAATGGTCGACTACCCACATTCCCCTTTAGTACACTTTGGTGTATTTTAACCTTAACGAGTGTAGACATGATTTTAGCGAGCGATCATAAACCCTCATATTAACACAACAAGAATAGTAGAAGTTTATTTAATATGAGAGAAAGTAAAAAGAATTTGGAACGGACATGTAACCATGAATAACACGTCCTAAACAAGCATGATCGAGACATCCAACACGCAACTAACTTCTTCGCTCCGTGCCATGGAATAAAGGGCGGGCGATGTTGTTTAACGGAGGAGTGGCGAGGGGTTGGGAAACGGGAGGGGCAATAATTGTAAGCCAATACGGTCACGTTAACCGAGCCATATGTGTGGGCATAGGGAATTGAATTGGTCCACTAACCCAAACTCATTTCTTTTTATTTATTTATTTATTTATTTATTTGAGAGTAGGGACAAATTAGCAGTCTATCTTTTTCATCTGCGCTCGTGCCAGACGGTGCCCCGTCCCCAGTCATTAAATATTCTCTATTTTTTTTTATTTTCCAATTTTTAAAATGGAGATCCTCTCGTTTGGGCCATTGGCCCAATTACGAGGTTGATATCCAAATACTTATTTGGGCTCAAATACAGGCCTTCTGTTTCTTCTCGGCCCAAATATAATTGGGCCCATTTAATGCGAGTCCATGGACCTAGCCTATTGCCTAATTCTGGCCCATTGTGGCTCCACGTTGTTTGGATAGATTGATTAAATAAATAATAATAATAATAATAAAATACTCATATGTACTATGAGTAATAAAATATATTTTTTAAATAAATAACCGTTCGAACCTCTAACCTTAAAATAACGAACATACAAATGTTTTTATAAAACATGCATGTGTTGTAAAATTTATAAGATTTTAAAAGAATTGATACGAGAATTGTATTTTTTTTTAATAAAAAATATTATAATTAAATTTAATTTTGTAACGAAATGTTTTTCTTTATCAAAATTAGTTAATTTTAGATTTTATTATTTATTTTGTTAAGATTAGTGAATAAATTAAACGAATAAAAAGTATGAAATTGAAAATTAAAATTAAAATTTGATATAATTTGGTAAATTGAAAAATAAAAAGGAAAATTGGTAGGAAATTTACCAAATTCTTTTCTTGCATCTTTTTGCTGCATCAGCATCAACACTGCTCTGACACCGCCACCTGTACCCTTAATTCTTCAAATAATCATTTTTTTAGTATAATTTCTGAAAAAATAATTGTCCACCAATATGCGAGTGCGTTTCTAGTACGCGCACTTCAAAGAGCGTGAGCCTAGTGTCACGGTCATGCTCGTCCAGGGCGTGTTGCTCATGGCCGCATGCCTATGGCAAGCCAAACCCTTGTCGTTGGAAAGTGAGTGCCGCACAATCGCTAGTCCGCTGCCTTTAAAAGTGCGATTGTGTCACCTAGCATCATATGGACTCTATCAGCCAAAAGACAAAAATAAAAAAATTCTTTTGAGAAAGCCTCACCGGAAAAATTAAAAAGCTGAAATTCCCAAAATACCCTCACCGGAAAAGGCATTCCGGGATCAGAAAGTAGCGAAACGCCGTCGTTTGTCAGCTGCAAAAAAGCGGGAATTTTGAGCTCTCCGGCGGGCATAGTAGTCCAAAGAAAGAACTCGAAGATCGAGATTCTGAGCAGTGTCTTTGTCTGCCTCTGTACTCCAAACACGATTCTTTCCTCCACCTTTTAATTTCTCTCTCAAAAACCCTAAAACCCTTTGAATTCATGTAAGAAAAGTATCATTTTCTTTAAAATTTGGTCGTAATTTCGAAAACCCTTGGAACCCTATGAGTGGTTTGAATCTCATTTGCCTCGAATATCATTTTTTCTTCTCTATTTGAGTTCATTTCAAGCTCCATTTCTTGTAGAGAAAAACCCAATTTCTCTCTGCTTTTCTAAGAACAAAGCTTGCAAAATGGCAGCTCGAGCGCTGTATAGCGCTCACAGAGCTTTAAATTTGTTCTTGTTTATTGTTTTAGCCTCATTTTTGTTCAATATAGCTTTCATTAGCGCTAAATCAACCATAGAGCCATGTTCGAACGCCGATTCTTGCAATGCCCTTCTCGGCTACACTCTTTACACCGATCTTAAGGTTTCTGAGGTTGCTTCGCTGTTTCAAGTCGACCCCATTTCGATTCTCACCGCCAATGCTATAGATGTTTCATACCCAGATGTTGAAAATCACATTCTGCCTTCGAAGCTCTTCATTAAAATCCCCATTTCTTGTTCTTGCGTTGATGGGATTCGTAAATCGGTTTCGACACGCTACAAGACTCGCCCATCTGATACTCTTTTGTCGATTGCTGATACTATCTATGCTGGTTTGGTCTCGTCGGATCAGATTCGTGAGGCGAATTCGATATCAGATCCCTCTGTTCTTGATGTTGGACAGACACTTGTTGTGCCACTTCCTTGTACTTGTTTTAATGGGACAGACAATTCTTTGCCTGCTATTTACTTGTCTTACGTTGTTCAACTTGAAGATACTTTGACAGGGATTGCGTTTAGATATTCGACCACTATTACTGATTTGATGAATGTTAATGCTATGGGAAACCCGAGTATTAAGGCTGGTGACATCTTGGCCGTCCCCTTGCCAGGTATGTTTTGCAGAAATTTTGGGATGTTTAATGTTTTGTTGAGTGCTTGATTTTTGAGGCTGTGAATTGTTAGAAACGAATGATGTCTTGTTTGGTTTGCTGCACAATTTGGGTGTTGAAGGAAATATATTGAATAATGTGCCATGTTTAGTCGAAAGGCAGTGTAACAGCTCAACTCCACCACTAGCCGATATTGTTGTCTTTGGTCTCTCTTTTGGGCTTTCTCTCAAGGTAAAACGTGTCTACACCATTATAAGAAATGATTTGTTCTTATCTTCAACCGATATGGGATCTCACAATCCATCCCACTTCGTAGCCCAGTGTCCTCGCTTGCACTCGTTTCCCTCTCCAATTGATGTGGGACCCCCAATTGTGAGATCCCATATCGATTGGGGGGAGAATAAAACATTCTTTATAAGGGCTTGAAAACCTCTCACTAGCCAATGCATTTTAAGAACCTTGAGGGGAAGCTCGAAAGGAGAATCTTAGAGAGGACAATATCTATTAGTGGTTGGCTAGGGCCGTTACAAATGGTATCAGAGCCAAACACCGGACGATATGCCTACGAAGAGGTTGAGACCCAAAGGGGGTGGACACCAAGTGGTGTGCCAGTGATGAAGCTGGATTCCAAAGGGGTTGGATTGTGAGATCCCACATCGGTTGGAGATGGGAACAAAACATTCTTTATAAGGGTGTGGAAACTTCTCCCAGCAGACACGTTTTAAAACCTTGAAGGGAAGCCCGGAAGGGAAAGTCCAAAGAGGACAATATCTGCTAGCGTTGAGCTTAGGCTGTTATAGGCTGAATCATTACTGAAGTTTAGTTTGGATCAAACACTAAAAACAGTCAAAATTTCCTCATAATCCTTTGTAATGCCTACATAATTAACCCCAAAGATGGCCTAATTGTTCCTGAACTTGAGAGGGTATGTTCATTTTCATTTCTACAGCCTGTGCATCTAAGTTTCCAAGATATTCCTCCGACTTCGGCTTGATCGTGCCAAACGGAAGCTATGCGATTACCGCAAGCCATTGCGTGCAATGTAGCTGCGGGCCGGGGAATCGCAAGTAATAATTGGGTAGCTTTTTTTACTTGAATTGTTGTGGTGGTCTGAAGATTGATGGTTTTGATTTGCTTGATTGTCTGTTTTGAAACAGTCTGTACTGCATGCCTGCTCCCTTTGCCGTTTCTTGTTCAAGTATGCAATGCAGAAACAGCAATCTAATGCTTGGGAACTACACTGCTCAGCAGAGTAGTGCAGGTTGCAATGTTACATCTTGTAGTTATGGTGGTTTTGTAAATGGCACCCTATTGACGACGTATGTCTTGTTTCTTCTCGCTTGGTTTCGAGCTTTTCGATTATGTTATTGTTTCATCCAAACAGTCTTTTTGATGAATCTTTATTTGCATTTCACAGGTTGTCTTCGAATCTTCAGCCTCGATGCCCAGGTAACCTTGATTCTCAGAAAAGCTTACCTTTTAGGTTGTTTGGCTTGGTGGGTTTTTCTATGTGAGATCCTATATCGGTTGGAGAGGGAAACGAAACATTCCTTATAAGGGTGTGGAAATCTCTCCCTAGCAGACACGTTTTAAAACTGTGAGGCTGACGGCGATACATAACGAGTCAACTTTAAGATATCTGCCAACCATAATCATGTTGTTCTTCATGGTGATTCTATATTACAGGGCCACAGCAATTTCCCCCGCTTAAAGCCCCACCTACTACAGTAATCAGAGATTCAAATTTTGCACCTGTACCTGCTCCTCAATCTGATGGCACTGGATCACCTGCACCCAGATCAGGATTGATCCCTTCATCAATTGGATCTCTCCCCGGACTCCCGCCAGCCAGTGGCCCCGTTGGTACCGGGTTTAGTTCGCCGTCTTCCAGTTCTTCCTCGTCGTTGGCGAATCCGTTAGGTAGTATCCTTGCTGCCTTGATGTTATTTATCGTTGCCTATTTCTTAACATCATTTTCATTGTAAAGTTTTTTTTTGGTCTTTTTCTTTGATTTCATGTAATTGTACTATCTGTCTTAGTAGATTCCGCTTGTCTGTGTTACCGTTCATGTAAGATTGCTACTTGTTTCTTAGTTATTGTTGGGATGAAGATTCTGTTGCCTAGGGACACTATATTCACGAGAGAGAGATTTGAAATATGTTAAAAGATTTTATTGATTCAAATGGTTTGATTGTGCGACTTTTGTTCTAACCCAGCGAATAAGTTAGCCGGATGAAATTCGGATGCTGCAGACAATATTGATGTATGTTTGAGTCCGAGGTCATATTTGAGAGATATTTTAGAAAGGAAATATGTTGAAAACAATTGTAAAGAAAACAATGTTATAAGCTAAAAATGAGTAGGCAACAACAGTTTTGATAGCATACAACTTGGGTAGGAAGAATTGACTAGTTACATTTCCTATAGTACATTTTGAGGCGTTTTAGACTTTATAAATGTAGACATGATTTTGGTGATTGGTCATATACCCCGTGTTTGTCCTGCTATTCATGACAATCTCTCAAAAAAGAGAAAGTTGGTGTCTTTCCCAATCCAAACTAGCGGAATAGACCTCCTTTAAGACCATAACTTACTAAATAAGCACAGCCATAGACATTTAGTTAGTAAAACTTAGTTTAGAAATATTTATAATTAGTTTCAAAATTTCCCTAATTAATTTTCATATCCAATGGACTCAATGAAACTTGTAAGATTTACTCGAGCAAGCTTGTCATAACACAAAGTAGAACTGGAAATGACGTTTATGTACAAGATTTACAATTCTAACCGTAATTAACACAACTAAAAAGAACGAATAATCAAAAGAAAAAACAAACAATGCCATAAGAAATGTTAACAGTTATTTACATCACTTGATAGAACGAATAATGAACAGGAAAATGAACCCCAAACAATATCTTACATTTGTTGACATAGCTTCTTCAGAGCACCTTCATCACCGCCTTGCTTGTATGGTGAACACCAGTGGCGGCCAGTTTCAATATAGCACGACCCTGGTACAAGCTGCAATATGCAAAACCCGTGACGAACAGACAACGTTATCAAACAATTAATCTGAAACTTAGGACAAAAATTGCTGTTTATATTTAGATAAAAAAAACCTTGGTAAGATCTGATCAAACCTATTTGAAAGATAAGATGATAGATCGACAGAAATGTGTGAAAACACATTGGTTAGATAAAGTTCTTTCTGCCCTTGGGATGAAATTGCAGTGGGATACTAAAACTAATGAATTTGGGAATGACTATTTCTAGGCTCACTAGATTAGCCCATTCAAGAATCAATGAATGAAATGGTAGCATTCATGATAAAGAACTCCAGCTATGTGATGAGGGCTTCTAAGTTTGATGGCAAGCTCCAAGCTCGTGCACATTGGATTTTAAATCCAAGCATGTGTTAGGAATCACGGACCTCCACAATGGTATTATATTGTCCACTTTGAGCATAAGCTCTCATGACTTTGCTTTTGGTTTCCCCAAAAGGCATCATACCAATGGAGATGTATTCCTTACTTATACATACACCCAAGATCATTCCCTTAATTAGCCGATGTAGGACTCCCTCCCAAAAATCCTCCCCTTAAACAAAGTACACCATAGAGCCTCTCCTGATGCCTATGGAGCCCTCGAACAACCTCCCCTTAATTGAGGCTCGACTCCGAGTCCTCGAACAAAGTAGACCCTTTGTTCAACACTTGAGTCACTTTTGACTACATCTTCGAGATTCACAACTTCTTTGTTCGACACTTGAGGATTCTTTTAACATGACTAAGTTAAGGACATGACTTTGATATCATATTAGGAATCACGAACCTCCACAATGGTACGATATTATCCACTTTGAGCATAAGCTCTCATGGCTTTGCTTTTGGTTTCTCCAAAAGGTCTCGTACCATGGAGATGTATTCCTTACTTATAAACCCATGATCATTCCCTTAATTAGCCAATGTGGGACTCCCTCCCAACACTCCTCAACAACATGGGATTTATTCTTATAATTCAACAATCATAAGCAGAGAGCAAATTCTCCTATCAGTACGCTGTTTCATATTCTACATGAGGTATCCAGAAAAACAAAATGGTGATCATTTTCAATAAGACATATAAATGAAGGAAAACTGACCCCGCCAATGCAAGTCCCCAAGTGGCCAAGGAATAAAACAGCAGCCCAGCATGCCAAATTTCAAACATCTTTTCCATTTTGCTGCCCATACCCTTCAGCGCTTTTGCTATTGCTGCAAACAGATAAACACAATTGCACAACATGTCAACTCAACAAGTTCCATTGCTCGAGCGTAATCCCCACGGTCCAGAGGTCAAATTAACAAAACGAAAGACGTACTTTTCTGCAGCTCCTCAGGTGATACGTTCTGCAGTTTCGAAAACTAGAATATTTAAGATTCATTACAGAAATCTAGACAGAAATTTGCATCCAAAGTGATAGGCATACCCGGGTATTCGGGTTGGACATAATACATCTAGCCATGAAGTGGGCAACTGCATCCACCACATGTTCTTCAGATACAATCACATAGCTTTCATCATCAATCCCACTCCATTCTTCAACTTTACTCGGAACCATATCTTCAGTAACCCATATCCACCAACTGGGTGCATCGCGGCTAACATTCACAAGAATCTCAGCTGTGTGCGAATCAGCTCCTAATCAAAGAACCAAACAAGGGAGAGAAAAAACATCAAGCAATCAATATGAAAAATGGATTATGCTTGGTTCAAGAAAGGAAGAAAGGAAGAAAGAAAGACCTGTCGTTTCCCTGAAAGGAAACTCATAGGTAATTCCATCTTTTGATGCTTCGTTGAGGGATTTAATTTCATTCAAGAATTTTTCAGAATCCACTGTCGCAACGAGACGAGCGTACAACTGGGATTTACAAGGTCCAAATACGACTTGAGTTCATCGCAGGAGTAATGATAAACAATACAATAATTGAAAGGAAACAAGTGCCATACTATGATCGTCATGTATTGCGTTCATGTACCCTTAAACAGGAAAAATAATGCAAAACCATTTACCCTATCGGCATAAACTAAATTAGGGCAGGAAACTGGACGATTCGTAATTGAAATTAACGCTCGATTCTAAAAATCAAAGGTAAAATCACATGATCGGTATAAAATAAGTGATGATTCCGAAAAGAGAAGGCAAATAAATCGTTCCAGCCCTAAAAGTAGGAACAGCGCGAAATTTCAATCCAAGGTAAACTAAAAAATGAATCAAAATCAGGCTAAAGCTTGAAAAAAGAGGGCAAACGGATGAATTACATCAGGGGGGCAATCCTTCAACAAGCAGTGCGATTCAGATAGCTGCTGAAGGAGGTCGAGATTTTGCTCAAGCAAATTCCTCAATCTCCGATTCTCCGATCGCAGAGCCTCAAGCAGTTCTTCCTCTGTAAGATTGCGCTCGGCGGCATCGTTGCTAGGTTTATGGTGATGACAACGTTCAATCGCAGTCCAGGCCACGTCTGCGACCTCCATGACCGTCTTGGCCACCTCCAGAGCGCCATGGCCGCCCTTCATCTGGAGAAACCTTCGGTTGCAATCAAATGAACTTCGAAGAGCTTTTTTTCTACGGAACTTCGAAGGGTAATTAATGTAAAACCTGTAATCGGATTTTCGTAAGGATCATTATATATACACACAAATTGATATATTTTGATTGTTATGAATGATTGCAATCAAATGAAGCGGCTTGCAACAGAGCTTGGGTTGATTAAAGGAATTAAATGAACCTACAACTAAAATCATAATCAAATTATTTCAACCTACCAACCTTTTTCAATCACTATAATTATTTTGAAGAACCACGAAAGAATTAGCAAAATTCAAGAACAAACGAGAGGAATAAAAACAAGAATTAAAGGTTTGACTTTTAATTACAAAAGAAATTGCTTTCTTTAACCTAAATTATTGTAATCTATTTTCTAATTTTGGCAATTTTGAAATAAATCCATTTCTAGGTGGATTTTTGCTCATCCTGGTAATTTTTTTCCCGCATTAAAAATGCGTCTACTGAGGAGAGGTTTTCACACACTTCTCATAATCCATCCCTTATGGGGGTTAGCATCCTCTCCTTCACAAAGAAAAATTATATATACACGTCGTGAAATCAACTTATTAATCTGACCTAAACTCATAAATCACAGTCGGAATCGTAATCTTCTTCTAGTGACCCTTGTAGCTAATTACCTAATCATACATGTGAAATTACCACTTACGATTACCCACTTTAGATAATCTTGGTGGCTAATTGTCCGATCACAAAATGTGTAATTACCGTGAAGTAATTTAGAATCACCCACTTTCGATGATCTTGGTAGCTAATTATGTGATCACACAGTGTATAACTACCATAAAGTCATTTACGATCACTCATTTTGAGTGAACTTAGTGGCTAATTACCCAATCACATGACATGTAATTTCAGTAAATACTTACGATCACTCACAGATATAATCGCCCAATTTTAGAAGGAAGAAAAAAAAAAAACAAACAATAAACAAGACAAACAATAAGAGAAATAGGTTAAACGAGTTGATTTCATTAATCAGACCAATGGTTCGATCAATTAAACAATAAAGATTAACATGTAAACCTTCTATAAGTTGAGAAAAAAGTTTCTATTAAAATTCCGACAACTAGAAAAGAGAGTAAAAACGTTTCAATTTCTCGTTTCCTACCTTTTCTCTCTTATCTGTCAAAATTTTTAATGGTAATGTTCGATATAAATCTAAGTAATGATAAAATACGAGACGATTTTGACTTTTGACTTTTGATTTAGACTTATAAATCTTCTAGAAAGCCTCAACAAATCATCGATGTCGAAAAGCTTTTCGTCGACGTCGGAAGCTAAGTATCAGTGTGCTCCCCATCAGAAAGAAGGGTTCTGACTTCATTTGCAAGATCCATAACATGTTTATCTTCCCATCCTGAGCAAAGAATGGTTGAACAGCAAGAACATTTAAGCACAAAACAAGAGAAAAAGCCAAGTTGGATCTAAATTCTACATGTTATAGAGTAGCAGGAACTTACTAAACTCAAGAAGAGCCTTTTCAAGTTGAAAAAGGTAGTCCTTGTTGGGTCCTGAGGGCCCTTGCGCTTCAACTATCTGCCTGCACATTCATGGATCACAAAAAACTAGTTCATTTGAGTTCTGATGCTGTCAAATTGAACTCAAATGATCACTAACCACCACCAATGAACCGACAGTTTAATCGGTTCAGTTCGGGCGTTTTCTGTTTGCTTCACGTTGGTTGGTTTTGCAGTTTTGTAACAGCCCAAGCCCACGCTAGCAAATAATGTCCGCTTTGGCCCGTTACGTATTGCCGTCAGCCTCGTAGTTTTAAAACGCGTTTGCTAGGTGAAAGGTTTCCACACCCTTATAAGGAATACTTTGTTCCCCTCTCCAACCGATGTGGGATTTCACAATCCACCCCTTTTGGGGGCCTAGCGTCCTTGCTGGCACACTACCCGATGACTGGCTCTGATACCATTTGTAACAACTCAAGCCCACCGCTAGTAGATATTGTCCTCTTTGACCCGTTACATATCACCGTTAGCCTCACGATTTTAAAACGCGTCTGCTAGGGAGAGGCTTCCACACCCTTATAAGGAATGCTTTGTTCCCCTCTCTAATTGATTGATGTGGGATCTCACAATGCACCTCCCTTGGAGGCCCAACGTCCTCGCTGGGACACTGCCCGATGACTGGCTCTAATACCATTTGTAACAGCCCAAACCTACCGCTAGCAGATATTATCCGCTTTGGCCTGTTACGCATCATCATCAACCTCACAATTTTAAAACGCGTCTACTAGGGAGAGATTTTCACACCTTTATAAGGAATACTTCATTCCCCTCTCCAACCAACATGGGATCTCACAATCCACCCCCTTCGAGGCCTAACATCCTCGCTGGCACACCGTCCAGTGACTGGCTCTAATATCATTTGTAACAGCCCAAGCCCACCACTAGCAAATATTATCCGTTTTGGCCCGTTACGTATCACCCTCAGCCTCACAGTTTTAAAACGCGTATGCTAGGGAGAGGTTTCTACACTTTTATAAGCAATGTTTCGTTCCCCTCTCCAACCAACGTGGGATCTCATTTAACATTTCTATTGATCTTTTCAAGTCTCAACAAGCGTCAAGAAGTGTAAATATCATATCGAAATCGAACACATACTTAGCAATCTCCTCGAGCGACGCAGGGCCAAGGTAATTCTTGTTTAGCTTCTTGTCTGGAGATGCAATATATCTGTGGCATAGAACTCACTGCTAATATCATTCTCTAGAAAGTAAGTGTAAATATATATTGTAAAATACTGCTACTTACACCATTACTCCAGAAACAACAGGGGTGATAGCCATGGGGTCCTAAAAGGTTGAGCAGCTTTCAATAAGGTAACAGGCACAAATATATCAAGAACGCTTAAGATACTTCAGCCTTGGATGAACTGAAACTTACATTGAAAAAGTCCACATATTCTTTTTTGTCATATTGTTTCTCCCTCACTTCTAAATGCTATGGAACACATGACAAAAACAGAAGAAAAATCGTCAAGAAAGTCGTTACATCGATGAACAATGTCGGTCGATGAACGATCGAGCTACCCAATGCAGGTCAATCAAAGATGAAAACTAATAATAACATAAAAAGGGGATAGAATCAGTGAAAAGGAGAAAATTTTAGCCAACAAAACGTGTAGATAGAAAAGAGTTGAAGAACTTACATTTAGTGCAGCCTCTTTATCCTCTTTTCTGGTGATCTTGTATGCAACGCCCCACTTTGGCCACAAAAGTTGAATGAATTAGCCTCACTTTAATAGCTTTGTTAATCCAAAATTATAATTTTTTAACATGAACATACCCGCTTGAGTATAGTGGAATTTGACGTCTTAAAATATGTTCATGACCCACCACACTAATTCTCGGGAGGTTTTGTAAGAGTCTAAGTCCACCGCTAGCTGATATTGTCCTCTTTGGACTTTTCCTTTTGGGTTCCCTCTCAAGTTTTTAAAACGCATATGTTAGGTAGAGGTTTCTACACCCTTATAAAGAATGCTTCGTTCTCTTCTCCATCCAATATGGGATCTCACAATCCACCCTCCTTGGGGGCCAACATCCTCACTGGGACACCACCCGGTGCTTGGCTCATATACCATTTGTATCAGCTTAAGCCCACAACTAGTAGATATTATCCTCTTTGGGCTTCCCCTCAAGGTTTTAAAACGCATTTGTTAGGAAGAGGTTTCCACACCTTTATAAGAATGTTTTGTTCCCCTCTCCAATCGACGTGGGATCTCACAATCCACTCCTTTTGGGCCCAGCGTCCTCGCTGGCACACCTCCCCGTGCTTGGCTTTGATACCATTTGTAAAAGCTCAAGACCACTGCTAGCCGATATTGTTCTCTTTGGGCTTTCTCTTTTGAGTTTCCTCTTAAGGTTTTAAAACATGTCGATTAAGGAGATGTTTTCACACCCTTATAAGTAATATTTCGTTCCCCTCTCCAACCGACATGGGATCTCATCATTACGACCTAAGGGTATCCAAACATTATTCAACTTTCACCTAAATATTTACGATGCCCTTCATAAACCCATAAAGCTAATATTCCTCCGAATAAACAAGAATCCAAAGCAGTGTCAGACAGGTACCAACTTTGCACCCAAAAGATCAGCAACGCCAATGTTTCTCTTAAGTACTCCACTAATTATAGAGCTAAGGTATCAACTTATTCCAACCTTCCCAAAAAAATGGAGACTCCACCATACATAAACAATATAGAGGCCAAGTCATAATTACAAAACTAAACCCAACATTCATCTTTGGCAATATACTTAATCAAGGAGAAGGGGGAAAAAAATCCAATCAGTAACAGCTAAAATTCCAGAATGATATGAACTTTTGAAGCCAAAAAAGCTTAACATTAAGCTCAAGAAACAATTCCCTCTTCCAAAACCACAACATTAAGCCGATGACAAACAGTACAAGACACAATTAAGAACATCATAGACAAAGCCAAAAGGCTTCTTGTAATGTTTGAAAACAATAACCTCTGATCATCAATCCCAGAACACCAAGAATCACAATCCATAACTAAAGTGGTTTTTGTGCAGAGAAATTAAAGTGGGGTTTTAAAGAACATACACAAACTTCCCCTTCTGCAGGCTCCAATGTCACAGTTCTTCCAGGATATTCAGGCGTGCCTCTATGATCAGTACTCCCTAGTAACAAAAAACACGCACAAATCAAACAGAAAGATATATATAGAAGAAATCCAAAAAACAGAGAGAAATCGGTCAAATGGGGACCTTGATAGAAGACACGGCGGTAGCCTTTGATACAGCCGGGTAATTTTTCGTCGTAGGGGAAGCCAGTTTTCCAAATGAGAGACCCGTACCCGAATACCCACATCACCATTTTTGATCGAAAGTGGCGGAGTAAGGGCGGAGCACGGCGCCTCTGTTATTTCCGCTCGGTTGTGGAGGGGAGATTTCCTTTCCGATTAATAAATGGGAGATGATGATAGCTTCCAATCATAAGGATCAACGTGGGGAATTCGTATTTGATTCCTACTTGGGTGTTTTTGTACGATCCAAATTTTTGCTGTAGTGAATTTACCATAGTGCCCATGAACTAAATTCCCATTTTCATTTTAGTTTATTTGGACAAATATTTATTGATTTTTGAACTAAAATGAATTATTATATATTTTTTTATTATAAAGTATTCCTATTTAAATGGGTATTTTCTATCATTTATTTGTAATTTTTTTTATAGAAATCTCATTTAATTGAGAAATTTCAAAAAAAAAAAAAAAAAAAAAAAAAAAAAAAAAAAAAAAAAAA